GACATTTCTGACACTGAATAACTTTAAGCTGAAGGAAGGTAGATTTAGATCAAATATTGTGAAGAATTTCTTCCCTGTGAGGATGAGGAGGCCCTGGCACAAGTTACCCAAAAAAAGCTGTGGCTGCCCCTAGATCCCTGGAAGTGTTCAAGGCCAGGCTGGATGGGGCTTGGAGCAACCTGGGATGATGGAAAGTGTCCCTGCCCATGGCTGGAAAGTTGGACCAAATAGTCTTTAATGTTCCTTCCGACCTAAACCATTCTGTGATTCTCTAAATCCTTGGGTTAGGCTGTGCAATTGCAGTGAACCATTCCAGTGGGCAAATTATTCACTGTTCTTGTGGGACCTGATCTTAGCTGGGATGCTACATAGGACAGGAGGAAAAAGTTCAGGAGAAAAAAGTAAATGGAAAGTGTCTCATGCAAAGCAGAAAGCAGGACCTGCAACTTTTTCTTGATGGAAGAAGGTGCCTCCATCCCTGTCCTCAGGGTCTAATTCCATCTCCTGAAAATAGGCTGAGTGCACCAATGAAGACATCATTTCTCAGGACCTTGCACATGATGGCCTGGTAAAATTGCTATTTTTAAGACAGCCAAATTTTGGAAAGAGATATAGCAAATTTTCTATTAGCAAGGGCCTGCAGAGGCCATGGGTGCCTGCACTGTTTGATGCTATTGTGCTGGGCTTGGGGCTGGAGGGGGCTGGTAACCTCCAAAAAGGATTAGAGGGAACATGGCAAGGAAAACCCTGAATTTGGATTAAAGATGTTTAAAAGTCCCTTGTATCAGCAAGCTCTTTTCTCAGGGAGAGATTAGGAGTGCAGCTTCTCTTGACAGTTCTGTTAATCTGGTCTCCATGGAAACAGGATGATGTTAGTGGTGACACACTCCCCTGAATGGCTTCTCAGCACCACTGTTAAGGGGGAGACTGGCTTTGGTTTGTCACCCAGATCTGGTTAGTTTGTCCCCTGTCAGGCCCTGGCAGCTGCTGCTGGGGGATTTTTTTGCTGCTGGTTTTGTGCTGGTGGGACCTGCAGCAGTGCCCCCACGCTGCAGAGATTTTACTGCAGAATTCCCAGGCTCAAACCTCCACACCGAGCCCAACCAGCCCAGGAAAAGCCCCAGACTTCCACCCAATCCCGTTTTTGCTGGTGCTCCTGCACGGGGCAGGCTGTGGCTGTTGTGCAAACACCTCCCACCCTCCTACCCTGCAGGGTGACCGAGTGACCTCCTTGTGGTGAGGGGAGGTCTCTGGGGGCTGCTGCAGTGACCACTCCTGGACCCAAACATGGACAAGGCATTGAGCAAGAAGTTGGGAATTTTGCCATGTTTTAAAGCAAGCCCAGCCAGCAGTAAACACCAAGGCAGAGCTGTGCAGCTTTGCTCTGTGCCTGACTGCAGGGGACAGAAGTAAAGCCTGTCCCAGGGACTTGCCTCCAAATGCAACCTGGACGTGCTAATGTGGCCATCCAGGCTGGGGGTGAAAGGGTGGGTGGCTTGTAAACGTTCCCTGCATCTTTCCAAATCCCTTTTCATCCTGAGTCACACGCAGAAGAGCGTGGGTGAGCGTGAGTAGGCAGAGGGAGAGGGGTGGTGGGGCTGCATGAATTTGGATATGCACATCAGCTATCAAACACAGTGCAAAATTGCTGTGAAAGCAATGAAAAAAGATAAATTTCGTGTCACAGTATTCAGATGATGAGCTACTGCTGTTACTGCTTTCTGTGTTAGTGGAGTTAAAGTGGGACTTGCTTGTTGAGATTAGCAAGGACTCTTGTGCACCTCTTCTCTTCCCTTCCCTTCTCTTTCCTCTTTCTCTCCCCACTGCTCCACAGTTGCATTTCCCAGGATCTCTGCCAGGTGTGTGGGACTGCTGCTGCCTCAAGTCCTTTCAGATCAGTCATGGGTTTGGCTAAAGAAAGTTGAAACAAAGAAAACAAAACCTAGGTGACCTTTATGTCTGTCTGACTCCAGCTCATGCTTCAGAAACGTTTTATGCCATCAGCTAATTCCACCTAGACCTGGAACTGTGTACTTAAAAACATCAGGAAACTGAAGAATCAAGGAAGAGACTTTATCAGTGGTCCTGTTGGCCTCACTGAGCTCAGCCCTAAATCAGACCTCAGAGATTTCATCCCAGAAACTCCACAGCAATCCCTGGCAGAGCAGCTCACTGGCTTCCCTGGGGCCACCTGGAATGGCACCAGAGCAAGTCCCTGGCTGTTCCCTGTAAATCCCATTGCTTTTTGAGCCTATGCGACAGTTTTCACAGAAAACAAGTCTAGTCCACTTCAGATTTAATCTATGAATGATGACTTGAATTAAAAACCAGCTACAGCAGCCCAGTGCAATAAACACCAGGAAGGCTGTGAAAGCCCTGGTCTGGCTGTGAGAGACAGGGCTCTGCACACCTGCCCTGGGGCCCCTTCCCAGCTAGAGAGCCCTGGGGAGGGGCCCTGCAGCCTCATGGATCATTTAAAGAGTCATTCAATTCCAGAAAGCAGGCAGCAGCTCCCGTGTGGGCTATACCTCAGCAGTCATAATTCGTCCCAGTTTATAAATAAGATGCTTTTCCTGGACTGCCAGGTCCCAGTGACATCTACAAGGCAAGCTGTGATCTCTGTGGCCTGTGAATCATCTCTGATAATGGAGATCCTGCTGCCTGACTCCTGCTTTTGTCAGCTATACGGAGTTTGTGGATGCACCCAGAGAGAGCTCCCTGGTACTATGGCAAAGGAAATGATTTCTTCCCTCTGGAGCAGAGCCCTGGTGGAGATCACCTGCTAGGAATGCTCTTAAGGACAGAGCAAAGTGGTACTGTTCACCTTTGCTTTCCCTGAGAGGTATTTCTACCTCCCTGACCCAGCCTGGGGTCTTTTCAGCCTTTTCCTTCCTCTCACCTCACATTCATGCCTTTTCCTAGCACCAAGGCCATATTAAATCTGAATTTTCCCCCCTCTTGCCCTTGGAGCTGTTCAATGCCTGGCCCATGTGCAATAGCCTCCAGCAATAAGGGGAAAACTTTGGGTGTTAGCATCTACTTCTGCTTCTCCCTCTGGAGCATCAGCATCCTGGCCTCCATCCCTGGAATCAGTTCAGAGCTGGATAAATCTGCTCTGAGCACCACTGTGCTCTTTACAGTGGTCACAGCGTAAAGTCAAAGTGAAGATGGCATCAAAGCCCAATGGGAATTAGTAATTCCCACTAAAAACTGTGGGAATTAGAAATGAGCATGAGCTACACCCTGGAGGGTGAGAGCCTTTGCTGGGAGCAGCTCTCAGGTGACGGCGCTGGAGGCACTGGCTGGTGGGTGAGGTGTCTCGGGTGCTCTGCCTGCCTCCACCCGTCTGGCACAGCTGCCAGGGTGCTGCTTCCTCGCTCTGCATCTCCTCTGCAGCCAGGATAACAACACCTTGTGGGGGTGAGGGTGGATGTTCTTTGGCATTTGTCATCGACTCGCCTGCGAGCACCCTGGGGAGGCCTATAAATAAGTGAGGGGCTGTGATTCAGCAGCCACTGGAGGAGAAGCAGCTGCCACCGTGTCCATTTCACGATCACTTCAAAAGCGTCGAGTCTTTATTCGATTTGTGGTTTTGCATTACGTTTGCAAGAGCCCCCTGCCCAAGTGGAGCAGGGGAAGGTGACCTGCTGGAGGGTGGGGAGGATGCTGTGGAAGGAGCCCTGTGGGAGCAGTGCAGCCCTGGGAGTGATTGCAGGCTCCAGCACAGCACCCTCTCTCCTTATTGACGCACCTGCTTTCATGTTTCTCTCCCCTTCTGTTTGCTCTGGTGGCTTTTCCTGATGCCTGTTATTGCTGGGCAGAGAGAGGCAGTAAAAGAAATTGTTCAGGCCGGGCTTGTGGAGAAACAAGCAGGTGTCTGGCTGCGTTATCAAGGTAACAACACTTTTGCATCTCAGTGATGGGACTAAAATGAGACTGAGTGATCAGAGCAAAAAGCACAACTGTGTTCACCTCGAGGCTCTGAGCAGCAAAATCGCAGCTTGGATTTAGGTTTGGGTTGCTGATCTTAACTTCACTCTAATTCACCCGGTGTTTGGGACTTTACTGGCAGTCGTGGTTTTGTGGGGCTGTGTGGGGCTGCACCTGCTGGGACATGCTGAGGTGAAGGTCCTGTTCTGTGTGTGTATGAACTTCTAGATGGAACTACAGAACTGAAGCAGGATTTTCTATTTCTATTTTCTGCAGGATTTCTGTGGTCTGCCCTCTGCTAAAATAGCCTTGACAGAGGCCGTGGCTTTGCCTGAGATTGGGAGGGAGGGTGTTTGTCTGTCCCTTGTGTCAGGCTGGGTTCCCATGTGCTGAGCAGCGTTGTCCATTTCCACACTGATGTTTTGTGGCAAGGGGAATCATTTGGCCCACAGTGTGGTGAGCAGTACCCACAGGAGCATGTCTGCCCTAGAAGATCCTACTGACTCCACGTCAGAGCTCCACTGCTGGCTCAAAGCCACCTGAATGTCAGCTCTGTGACGTCTCTGCAGCTCGGTGAGTGACAACCCCCTCTGTGCCCTGGGTGTGAGTGTGGAAACAGGCACAGAGGCACCACAGGCTTCTTCTGAAGCACAGCCAGGGTGGAGGGAAGATCCCTCAGCCAGCTCACCCTGCAGCTCTCCCTGTTTCTAATGAAGCCTCCTTCCCAGTGGCCACTCACCCCCTTCTGCTTTCAAGTCAACAAATTAAAAATAAAAAAAAAGAGAAAAGTAAAAAGCAAAGAGGAGGAGAAAAAGACAGAATGATATATTTTTGTTCACTCTCCCTCCCTTCTTCATTCCTTTGAGCCATTTTTAACCCAAGCTAATTCAGCTGGAAATATTAATAACCCTATAAGGACGCCACCTCCTTGTAATGAAGTGTAAAGGTCACTTCTGCTCAAATCACACAACTCTTTCATTTTGTTCTCTGCAAGGAACAGCTCCTCTCTTTAATTATTCAGTTTGCTTTTATATTGCAGCCGCTGCTCTCTTGTCTCTAATCTCTGACACTTCCCCATTACGCAAGTCCCCAGGAGCTGGGCAGTGTCACCTGCTGGGTCACCCCCAGGGCCTGGGTGCCGTGAGCAGCAGCTGGGATCTGCCTGGTGCAGGGAGAGAAGCTGGATGTGGAGAAGAAGAAGAGCTGACTCTTGGGTTTCAGTGCTGTTTCTTTGATGGTGTGAGTTGGCCGGTGTTTCTTCAGGGTGTGGGCATTGCAAAATATGTTAATCTTTGGTGGAGTTGAATGAGGTGCCAGTTGGTGGGATGGAGAGGAGAGGGGCTGGAGGGGGGTTGGGGCATTCCTGTCCTCCTGATTTACCTGATGGGTGGATGGAGGTGGGAGGCTGTGGCATGGGAAGTGGCCTCTGTGTGGTCACTCCTCACTGAGGAAGGTAATTGATGGTGAAGCCCTAAGATGAAACAAAACCTCTCAGTGCAATGTCCTCCATTCCCAGATGTCTCTTGGGCCATGTTGTACACAGCCAGGGAGAAGAGAGAGAGAAATCAGAGCATTCTGCTGCAAATGTGAGCACTCCTGGGACAGCCCGTGGGGGTCACCAGCACAGAAATGGGCAGTGGATTTGGGGGAAGCCGTCCTCAAGGGATGAATTTGGGGTCACATGGAGGTTCTCCCTGGACAGAGAGAGGGCCAGGAACAGGGAGTAGAACCACACTGGTCAGCCTGGAGAAGGGAAAGCTCAAGGGAGACTAAAGGGGCTCCAAAAGAGCTTGAGAGGGAATTTGGACAAGGATTTTTAGTGATGGGACAAAGGGTAATGGCTTTAAATTGACAGAGGGCAGGTTTAGGTTAGATTTGAGGAAGAAATTGTTCCCTGGGAGGTGGTGAAGCCCTGGCAGGGGTGCCCAGAGAAGCTGTGGCTGCCCCTGGATCCCTGGAAGCGTTCAAGGCCAGGCTGGATGGGGCTTGGAGCAGCCTGGTCTGGTGAAAAGTGCCCCTGCCCATGGCAGAGGGGTTGGACTAGATCATCTTTAAGGTCCCTCCCAACCCAAATAATTCTGTGATTCTACGATTTCAGTGTCTGAGGTGATTACTGCACTAATTATTACTTATTTATGTAACATCATAAATAATTAATAACCATAATTAATAGTATGGACCCAAGAGAGCAGAAATGACTTTTGTGGTGGCTGTAACCCCTGCCTCCCTTGAGCACTGCTCACTCCAGAACCTCTCTGCAGTGTTTTATCTCCCTGAATGTTTAAATGACTTGAGCAATTTGGGGTTTCCTCTGTTTCCCCACGGGATCCTCACTCTCTGCTCTATTTATAGCACCACAGCAGCTGTTAATGCCCACAAACAAACACAGGTCCTCGGTAGCTGCAAGGAGTTAAGGTTTATATAATCATGTGAAGATTGGAGAGCTGAAAAGCCTTTCTTCGTGCACTGCATTAATCATTTAAAAGGAGCCTGACTGATGATTTTTGCATGTGTGTGTGGTTGTTTCCTTTTTCCCCCTGTGGAGTCCAGCTGTTGCTGGCTGTACATGGTGAGCTCAGAGCCAACCAAACCATTGCCAAAGCCACCACGGCCTCTGAAAGCTCCTGTTCACATTCACCTGGTGATTCATTCATGCAGGACATGGGCTGTGCTGGCTGCAAAGAAACAGATCCAGCCCTCTGATGAGGATGTGGAGAGGTTTTGCTTGTTATTGCTAAGATGTGTTCTGCGGCAGAAGAAGGCTCACACTTCTGAAAGGACAGCATTTGTTTTTGGTTTTCTTTTTTTTTCCTTTTTTTTTTTTTTTGAAATTGGGATTGAAGGTATTTGAGATGATAGCTTGTGTTTAGATTTAGGTGTTTATTATTTTTTATTTCTATTATAAGCTGTGAGTTTTATAGTATTTTACCAATAAATTATAAAATGCTTTACTATTTTTAAATAAGGTTTTTAAGGTCAGTTTATTTAATTAAGGAATGATACTTAAATTATTTTTATTTTTAATTTAATAATTAATTACTCAAAGTTTGTAATGTGGAATTTCTTGTTTAATTACAAAAAATTACTTAAACTTATGAAGAAGAAGGTGAAGAGGAAAGATTAGTTACTGCTTTAAAACTTTTATTTTAGTTTTATACTTATATATATATTCTAAAACTTTAAGTTTTCTACTTTGTGATATTACACACTTTTAATTAACTACACACTTGTAATCTTAGTGTTATTAATTAACTTTGGACGTTTTCTCTATGGTTTTAGGCTAAATGTAGTGTTTTCTTGGGAGTTTGTTAGCATAGAAAGTCTAAAATTCTCAACACCCAGAACTCCAACATCACAGAACTGATACGGTCATTTCCAAATCATGGCTGGCAAATGAAGCACAGAGACGTGGGAAGTCTAATCAGGAGCACAGCACTGATCAGCTCTTTGGCCAAGCATGGGGAAATCCTTTTCCAAGCTGTTCCATGCCAGGGGTTTTCCCTCTCATTGCCCCTCTTGGACATGCTTTGGTGTGAAACCCCCCCAGGATCCCCTGATGGGGACACCCCTAAAAAGTTCTGTGCCAGGACTGAGAGACAAACTGAACTGTTGGTTTTTTGGTCTTCAGGTTGTTGTTTATTTCTTCTCTTATCAGCAGTTCAGCACGCCATCTGCACTCCAGATTTAGCACACAAAGACAAAGGCACCACAAAAAGTTACAAGACACACAGGTTCAAAGTCTTTTAAAACTATTTTGTGCAATTAACTCTTAGAACATATTTTATTTCTACCTTTCTACCAGTAACTACTTGTCTGTTCATGCAACATCTGCATTGTGGCTCTTTCTAACCAATCACCCTGTGCCCCAACACTGCAGAAAATGGAGCAGATGAAGAGCAAGAAGGAGCTCAGACAATGCTCAAAATCCTCCATCTTGTCTCCTATCCACCCCCAAACTAAAACCCCAAAGCTCTGAGTTTTTCACCCTGTGGTAAACTGTGCCACTGTCTATTTCACACACTCGGAGATTCCAATCCATCCCAAAGTCTTGGCAGCTTTCTCCATGAATGAAGATTAAAAGCAGTGTTCTCCTGGGGGTCACACTTCTCAGGAGAGCCAGAGGAGCATTCCCTGTGCCCTGGGTTCCAGCACTCTGGGAGCAATGGCATAGTGCTGAAATCAAGGTACCAATTTCAGCTTTGAAGCTGTTTTCTCTGATGTTGCCTGAACACTGGGCATCCATCCCTGCCACAACTGGCTCCAGAAGAAACTGCTGTCCACAGTTTTTGTACCAGCATCATCCCTCCCTCCTTCCCCTCCCTTCTGTGGCCACTCCAGTGGCTCGTTGACAGCAGTGCAATATGCAGTGGCACAGTTTGCTCTGTGTGCAGCCACAATTGTAGCTTGGTTCCAGCTGACAGGCTTATATGACCTCATATCTATAAACCCTGATCTTAAAACATTCGTTTGAAAAGCTCACATGGACATAAAACCCAGAGTTCAAAAGTTGCAACTTTTCAGACACAGGGGAGGGAAAAAAATAGCTGTGAGGTTTTAGGTTAAAATGCAGAAACATTGGGCTGTGGTTTTGCAGATGTGATTTCCATGCTGCCACCATCAGTGGTGGGGACAGTTCAGCACCTCTACTGCCACCATCCTCCTTCCAAGCCCCTAAGCATGGCTCAAAGTAATGAGATTTAAGGATGTGAGAAAGTCCTGGAAGAGCTAAGGAAAGATAATCAGAGCTAGGGAGACGGGAAGGAGGGAAGAGGCTGAAAGTGGCAGGGGGCTAGGGTTTGGGTGGTTGAAATTCCACTTTCCAGAGGAATTAAGGCAAATCAAGTCTTCTGGCTCAAGATGTGGCTGTTTTAATAATTAGAAAGAGGAGCTAAGACAAGGAGGATTTCTCAGGTCTATAGGTAGCAGTGCTGGGGGTGGTTGCTGTCCCAGACCTGTTTATTTGAGAGCATCTCTGCAGATACCAGCAGGAACTCATCGGTGACCACATGTGCTGGAACCTTCTGGCCCCAGCCAAAGGCACTGCAATTAAGGAAAAAAAAAAAAAAAAGCCAGCTTTTTCTCCTGACCTTCCTTAATCCCCCTGCATAGGTGCAGTGCTGTCCTGCCTGGGGTGGATGGTGTGTGCTGCTCAGGACAGCCCTCCCCTGGGGCAGGCACTGAGCTCTGCCTTGGCTGCCTGTAACCCGGGGAACAGATGGCTCCCCTGACAAATGCACCCTTTCCCGCACTTCCCTGCTCCTTTCCTCTGCAAATTGAGGCCTTAAAAAGGATTGATGGTGCTAACAACAACCTCATCTAGGAGGACTTTTGGAGGGATTAATGAGGAGTCGCTGGGGAAAGGTTTAATGGTCCAAAGAGATCAGCAGTCTCAAGCCAGTTTATTAATCAGCTAAGGCCATTACCACTTAAAGGCTCAGCCTGGGGGGAGGAGGAGGCGAGGGGTGGCAGTGATCCATCTCTGCACAGAAACATGCCAGAGGAAGTGAGCAGATCCCTGGAATCCAGCGCACGAACTCCCTGGTCTTCATCTGCTGTGGACTGGGATTTAGCAAGGGAATGCAGAGAGGAAAGGGAGTGATGGCCTTGCTTCATTTGCTTCTGAAAACTGCAACCCCTCTGGTGCTCTCGGGCTGCAGCAGCTCCTGAGCAAGCCCAGGGGCTCCCAGCCAGCTGTGTCTCTAGCAGTGGCTACCACACATCCCCAGATCCTGTGCCGTGGCCTGGGCAGTTAGGGACCACTGTTGGGAGAGGAAATTTATTTCTAACACCTTGTTCAGAGATCATTTTTCTGCCCTGGAGCGTGAAAACTGAGGTTCTTATTATTTTTATCACAGCAAGTCAAAGTGCAGAAGCTATTCTTATTCATATAAATGTCTAATCCTACTCTGATTCCTTCTGAGCTGTTGCATTTGCCTTGATTACTTTTTCCAGTTTTAGCTAAGATAAAATTTGCAGCAGAATAATCTGCCCGTGCAATAAGCCATCCCTGAGATGAGGAGATGAGGGTCCTGCCAGGGATCCTCTCCCATTTCAGGGTGCAGGAAAAGCTTGGCTGTGTCCTGGCTGCCCTGGATTGTATGGGGGAAAGCAAAGTGCCTCTATTTATTTCCTCTTCACTTGAGACCCCTTGGGGGTCTTCTGTAGCAGGATGTCTGAATGCAGCATGGCTATAATGTCATTTTCTGGGGCCCAGTGAGGGAGAACAGTAGGATTGCTGG